GGATTGGGGGAGGGGGGTTGTCACCTCGAGGAGTAAAAAGTATAACTATTGCACTGTGTTGTACAGCTGAAACGAATTCTAAAAAATGTGTATTTCACAATAAAAAATAATTAAAAAAATGTATATACAAGTTTCAAATCTACTTTCCTCTATAGTAAAAGACTAAAATTGCCTGCTTTAAATTTTATTGGCCATGGAACAATTACGATTTGTTTATGTTATAAACATTTTAACTTCCCTTCCTCACTAGCAAGAAGTACACAGGCAGGTCAGCTGAGTGGCTCAGTTGGTTAAGAGTTTGCTTAAGAGCACGAGCTCTGAGCAACAGGGTCGCTGGTTGGATTTCCACATGGGCCAGTGAGCTGCGCCCAAGCTGAGCCGCCGCTGAGCTGCCAACAGGTGGCAGGATGGCTCAGCTGGTGACAGCTCGTGCTCCTAATGACAAGATTGCCTGATCGATGGTGGGCTACACCCACCCACAGCTGGGACTGAACTCAGCACCTTGAGCTGAGTTGCCGTCTGGATGGTTCAGTGGATAGAGCATGTGCTCTTAACAGCAAGGTTGCTGGTTCGACTCTGGCATGAAAAAAAAAAAAGTACACTGGCATGTGTAGGAGGCTATATTTTAATTAAGCATAACAAAGAATACAGAGTTATGAAAATTATTTCTTTAAAATTAATTATTTTAAAAAGCAGGGAGGAGGAGTGGCTAGCAATCCAGTAACTTTTAATTAGATGCCACTGCAAAATAAGATAGTTAAAAACTTATCAATGCTATCGTTAAAATCTTTAATTCTAAGCATATGTATCAGACCATCATGTTCTCAATTTCTCACTGTCATAAATGACTCTGAGCTCCTATCACCCACATCAAAAGATGTTAAAAATAATTATCCTCTATCATTAAAAAAAAAAGCTTAAGAATAAGTGATACCTTCCCCAAATTTAGCAAACAATTTGACATAATTACTATAAGACACAGTATCTGATGAACACACTGAGAGCAGTTTGGGTGGGAAAATGATGACTGAAGCCCAACTTGGGTTAAAGAAAGAACGTGAGGTAAAGAAAAGGGGTCAAGTTGTTTACCATATTCCATTTATCAGGGAAGGAAAATATCAATCATGAAAGAAAGAGAGGGGATAACTGCAGGAGCAATCTTTGAGGTGGCTGCAGAAGATGGGATCCAGGCCTAAGTGGAAGAGATGACTTTTGACACAATCTGGGATATTTCATCCACTGAATAACAGAAAAGGCATGAGAATGTGAGTAAAGATGCTGGTAGAGTGGTATATTTGAATGAGAAAATAAGAGAGTTCCCAACTATTTTCTTATTCTTTTTTAATGACACAGAAAGCAAGCTGAAAATGAGGATTAAGGAGGGTGAGAGTATGAGGAAAGAGAACACATAGAAGGAACAGTGTGAAGGGACATGGACCCAAGAAGTAGAGCAAGACTGCAAGGCAGTATTATGTGCCCATTTGAGATTTTTTTGTCTTGCATTTAAAACGGAGAAAGTTGGAGGTCTCCTTGAAGTAGAAGAAATAGAACTGCTAGAGTGAGTAAGGAGTCTGAAAGGAGGGAAAGGAGAAAAATAAAGCAATATGTCGGTCTAGAGATTAAAACTTAAGTTATATAATAGTACAGATTGGCTATGATATGTAATATTAAACTTCTAGGAAATATACTTTCTTAAGAACTTTTATGGTCTTTACAGCAAAATTGCTAGTGTCATAAGTTTCAATTAATATATATGGCTTGTGACATTTTTCTGAGATAATTTCCTGTTAACTAAATACATTTGATTATGTCTCAAAATATAGCAAAATCAGGACTCAAAGGGCCTTCCTTTTAGGACTAAAGTCCAGAATTGCTTTAAGATTCTATAGAGATTAACATTCTGTTTTTCTGAAGTATGAACACATGGTTAGAACCTAATGACCTGATAGGAGAAAAAATGGACAGACAGACCTGCTCTGGCAACCGGTTGATTACAATGAGTGCTGGGTCTTGACCATTAATCTCTCAAGTTGTAATTTTTCCATTTCTGGCCATGACAAGGTCTGACACAATATTATGAAGTATGACAATATAAAATAATGTGAATAACTTTTTTTTACTATCATAGCTTCCAAAGTATAAAGGAAAAAAGGAAACTGATATTTTTTATACGCTTGTGAGTCCCAATGAAAATCACAGCATTTTAGAATCTCATTTTGTATTTCATTATTCTTCTAATCAATATTTATTAAGTGTTCATAATCTACATGAGAAAATACTAGATTCTAGTAACAAATACAGAATATATGACCACTGCCCACAAAGAGCGTACAATCTAAAGAGAAAGCATAAAACAAATTTTAATAAGCAAAGCTTAAATGTTAAAACAGTGCAAAACAAGGGGTAGGGAATACACACATTCATTATTCAAACAGAATTTTGAAAGCTCCTGAACAAGGATACGCATATATGTACATTACCACACCTAAAGTTATAAAACATTCATAAATACACAGAAAGAGAAAAAGAAGCAAATGAGTCCTGCAATTGCTGCTACAAATAGCAACAGATGCAAGCCTAAGTGAGAGCCAATCCAACTTTAGGAGATAGGAAAGAAATAGGTCAATAAGCAAGCTTTTAGTGATAGGACAAAAATGAAGATGCACTTTAAGTTAAGCTGCTGGTTAGGAGATGATTACCTGAACTTCTTCAAACTCACTCCAGTACACAGCAGAGGCACTCTTGGAGGCTGTATCTGGGAAGATAAGAAGCTACTTTCCTGTGTGTTCCTTTCATTTTCATTTTAAAGCATACATGAATCCAGTGGTGATAAAACTGTATGTCATACTATTGTGTTAATGAAAAGATAATGTGTGTATTTTGCATAAATTAACAAACAGATTCAACAGATGCATTTTTTTCCCTTCTATCACAAAACTGAGTAATAGGAAACTCTTATTCTAAGTTTCTTAATCTTGACTATTTAGGCTAAAAAGTGCTTTCTCTGATCATTTTCAAGCGAAATTTACTAGCAATATCATTTCATGTTACCAGTCTGAGTTCACTGATTGAAGTGATTATACATAGTTTTATATTGTCAATAAAATAACTGCAAACAATACTTAAAATAAAAAATCTCAATCAGTATATGGTTGAAATTGGGCTTCCAGAAAAGGAAACATTCCAGAACCGGAAACAGAAAGTTTCAAATTAAATAAATAATCTACTGAGATGATGGTTACTCAAATAAAGAATCAAAACATACTGTCCTCAACAGGAACAAATCTGATCAAAATAAAAATATGGAGAGAGAGGGCATGGGGAAAGCCAAAGCAACTATCAGAATGAAAAACAGCGAAAGAAAGTTTTCCAGTCCCTTAAGAAGGATTAAAAAAAAAAATAAAAAAAGAGTACGGAAAACTACAAAACTTAAATATATGTGTTTTAGTACACATATTTCATTTACTATGTTAAAATTATTTTTCTTATAATCTCTCCTACCTCATTATCTGAATCTTGAATAACTTTATAGAGGGCTGGTACCAGTGTTTTTTTCCGGTGTAAAGTTGCAGCATAATTGGTGATCTGAGTGTCAGGTAATGCCTAAAAAAAACATCAAAGGGAAACAAAAGTGAACTTAATATTCTGCAAGTCAGGATCTTTATTTTACATGAGTTCCTCTTGAAAAGATTTATGATAGAGTCAACTAAGAAAAGTTAAAAATAATTAATACAAGAAATAACCATGAGAGTGAATAAAACAAATTAAGTTAGGATGTTATATAATTCTAACTACTCAACCATGAAAAATGATTAGGGATCACACATTATACTAAGGCTGCTGAAATGGTCACCTTCAACTGATCGAGTCTAAAAAAAATAGTTTAGAATAATATATTTCCATTCTTGCATTTTATGTTTACAAAACACTTATTTCTATAGTGTTCATAAATTATATAGTTTTCAATCAAATCAATGATTTTAAATTACAGGAAATAAAAATATAAGGCAAAAATCCTATTTCTATTCCTTATTAAAACTTGGAGGCTTCCTCTCTTTTACTAAATATATTTTTAAATTTATATATCCCTCATCAATCCTAACAACTATTTTCATTTTTACACATTATCTTCTAGCCATTAGTGCCTTTTTACAGTTGTAATTATAGAAACATGTTATTTCAAATTTTGCTATTTCCACTTTATATCATAACATTTGTTTCAGTTTCTCCGCAGAACACATATTCACTGTTTGAATTACTGACACATTCTTATCCTCAATCTAATTTACCTTGAATTCTGATAACCATTCTTCCACAACTCCACGTTCAGATCCCAGCATCTTCTTTTACCTTTGATCACTCTTTTACTTCTGAAAGAAAAAAGCACTGAATTGCGGATAGCATGACTACTTAGAGAAATTACCAAATGTAAATAATGTGTGCCTTTCACTAAAGAAGAAACTCATTTAGTATATATTTTAGATAAGGAGAGGCTTACTTTTAGTCTAGAGCTCAATTAAAACTATTTTTTTTTAACCCTCTGTTGGGTGCAACTGATCTCACAGATTCATTGCACAAAAATTTTCAAATATCTAACAGTTAACTTAAGTAGCATGACTCATCGCTTCCGTATCTTCGCCCTCTACCGTAACCTAACGTCAGTTGTGTTTGTGACTTAGTAAAGACGTATTTCATAGCGGCATGTTTGTGTGCAATGAATCTGTGAGATCAGTTGCACCTGACGGAGGGTTAAGAAAGAAATTCTATCTGTAATGATACATTCGCAAACTATTTTCCTAATGCTTTTATATTTTCCCCATCAATTATACTTCAAAGTGGCAAAAACAAGTTTACTGAATGAAATCAAACTGCACGTTACCCAAGACAAATAAATGCACTGTCCATGCCTGGAGCTTTCACCAAATATACAACTAGAATAAGTTATACATCACAGGACAAATCATGTAACAGATTATAAATGACAAAGCTAGAAAAGCTAGAAATCAAGGGTTATATATTCAGCAAACTGGTTACAAATGTACATATACTACACAAAATAAGGCCTTGAAGAAGAAAGATTTTTATGTTTTCTAAAATGGAAAAATGTTCAAGTAGAAAAAACATGTTATGTGATTCCTTTAAAAAATTATATAAAATATTTAAAAAAACCCGCTGGAAATTTATATACACTGAATTATTAAGTGGTTGCCTCTGAGGGAAGGATTACTGATGATATTCTAATTAAGTAACTGAATTATAAAAAAAATAAAAAAGCATGTATTATTTCTAAAGTGAGGAAAAACAATAAAAGGTTTTTGGTTTTTAATTTAAGGATCAAAAGGTAAGAACTAGAAATAAAGAACTTTTTTTGGGGAAAAGGAAATGTCTTCAAAGCAACTAAAAATGAAAGTTTCTTTATTAAAAAGACAGTATTTCCTAAGATTGTGTCATATTCCACATTAAAATTTCTATTTTAAAAAAGGAAATCAGATTTTTCTAGTTTCCCCCTTCAATTCTAAAAGGATCTAAAAAATATCCCCATTATAATGCACTCTACCACGTACTCTGTAAGCAAGAAGTACAAAAAGGAGTAAGATGTGCCCCTTATTTTCAAATAGCAAATGTTCTTAAGATAGACTGATGGATTTATTCAAATAAAATGCAAGAGAAAAAAAGAGATAGTAGGAAAATCTACAGATCAAAAAAGGTGTAAAAAAAAAATCAATAACCAAAGTATGAATGTTATTTAGACTCTGATTCAAACAATTAAAAAGAGTATGACATGGGCCAAGCAAGTGATACACTGCTTAAGAGTTGGCTTGGGAGCGCCAGCTCTGAGCAGCAGGGCCCCGGTTCAGATCCCACATGAGGGCCAGTGATGCTGTGCCCTCTACAGCTAAGATAGTAAACAACAGCTCGACCTAGAGCTGTGCTGCCAAGAGTTGCCGGCGATGGCGTAGGCTGCAGCCCCTGATGCAGTGGGCTGCCGTAGGCCACTGTGAGTGGCCTGCAGCCAGCGTGAGNGATGGCTTCACTGGTGAATATCACCAAACATTTAAAGAACTAATACCAATCATTTTCAAACTTCTCCAAAAAACTGAAGATGAAGGAACACTTCCTAATTCATTCTGTAAGACCAGCATTACCCTGATACCAAAGTCAAGACAAAGACACTACCAAAAAAAGAAAAGGAAAGGAAAGAAAATTACAAACCAATATCCTTTATGAACACTGATGCAAAAATCCTCAACAAAATACTAGCCAACAGGGCCGGCTGAGTGGCTCAGTTGGTTAAGAGTTGGCTTAAGAGTGCAAGCTCTGAGCAACAGGGCCACCGGTTCAATTCCCACATGGGCCAGTGATGCTGCGCCCCCAGCTGAGCTGTTGCTGAGCTGCCAACAGGTGGCAGGATGGCTCAGCTGGTGTAACAACAAGATTGCCTGTTTGATGGTGGGCTACGTCCACCCACAACTAAGACTGAACTCGGCACATTGAGCTGAGCTGCCACCCAGATGGCTCAGTGGATAGAACATGTGCTCTTAACAACAAGGCAGCTGGTTCGACTCTGGCATGGGTGGTGGCTACGCCCACCTGCAACTAAGATTGAACACAGCACCTTGAGCTTAGAGGCCACGAGCTGCTGACGAGAAGCCAGATGGCAACTGGCGCCCTCCACAACAAAGATTGAAGAACAACAACTTGGCTGGTCCCCTTTCCCAATTCCCCAACACTGTTCCCCTCCTCCAATTCCCCAAAATCTTAAAAAATATATATATAGCAAACAGAATTCAGCAGCATATTAAAAGGATTATATACCATGACCAAATGGGGATTTTTTTCCTGGAATGCAAGGATGGTTCAACAACAAAAAATGTAATATAGCACATTACTAGAATAAAGAGAACACACGTGAATATCTGAAAAGATGCAGGAAAAAGCATTTGACAAAATTCAACACCTTTTTATGATAAAAACATTTAAAAAAAACCTTGGAATAGAAAGAAACTATCTCAACATAATAAAAGCCATATAGGAAAAACCCAGAGAACATCATACACAATGGTGAAAGACTGAAAGACTTTCCTCTAAGATCAGGAACAAGGAAAGTATGCCTGCTTTCACCACTTCTATTCAACATAGTACGGGGAGTTGTAGCCAGAGTAAATAAGCAAGAAAAAATAAATAAAAGGCATCCCAATTAAAAAGAAAAACAAAATCATCTGTTTGTAGCTTATATGATCTTATATGTAGAAAACCTTACAGATTACACACACACACACACACACACACACACACACACATACAAATAAAACCTGTTAGAACTAATAATGAATTCAAAAGTAGCAGGATCAAAGTCAATACACAAAAATCAGTTGCATTTCTCTACATTAAGAATAAACAATCTGAAAAGATAATTACAAAAACAATTCCATTTACAATAGTATCAGAAAGAATAAAATACTTAGAAATTAACCAAGGAGTAAATAAAAGACTGGTACAATGAAAATTACAAACATTGGTGAAAAAAACTAAAAGGAGATCTAAATAAATAGAAACAGATCCAATGTTCATGGAATGGAAGATTTAATGTTGTTAAGAGGTCAATACCACCCCCAAAGCAATCTACAGGTTCAAGGCAATCCCTGATGACTTTTTTATAGAGATAGAAAAATCCATCCTAAAATTCATATGAAAGCTTAAGGGACCTTGAATAGCCAAAACAATCTTGAAAATGAAGAACAAAACTGAGGACTCACACTTCCTGATTTTGAAACTTGCTGCAAAGCTACAGTAATAAAAACAGTGTGGTACCGGTATAGATACACCAATGAAATGATTAGAGGAAAAAATAATTAGAGAAAAATAATTTAATTAATGTAAAAGCAGGCAAGAAAGAAAAACAATAGGGGCTAAATAGCAAACAATAGTAAGCTTCTATATATAAACACAACTATATCAGTAGTTGTATTATAGTATAAGGACAAAAAATTTCAAGTAAAAGACTGAGCTTGTCAGACTGGGTTAAACAAACAAGCACACTTCTTTAAGGGACACACTTTAAATGTAACTACACAGAAAGACTGAAAGTAGAGGATGGAAAAAATATACCATGCAACACTAGTATACACATAAAAGAAAATTGGTATATTCTGCTAATATCAGAGAAAGTAGAATTTAAGGCAAGAATAATTACTCTAGATAAAAGGTATATCACATAGTGATAAAGGGATCAAATAGGAAGATACTATAATCATAAACTTGTATATGCCCCAAAATAATCTCAAAATATGTAAAGCAAAAATTTTCAGAATTAAAAGGAGGAATGGACAAATCCTTAATTATAGTCGGAGACCTCAGTGCACCTCTCTCTGAAGTTAACAGAAAAAGCAACCAATAACCAGTAAGATCTGAATAATGTAATTAACAAACTTGACCTAAAGGACCTATACAGAACATCATACTGAGCAACAACAACAAAAAATACACATTCTTTTCGAGTGTGCACAAAACATTTATCAAAACTGACCACATACTGGGACACAAAAGCCTCAAGACAATTCAAAAATGATAATGCCATTCAGCATATGTTCTCTAACCAGAACATAAGCTAGAGATCATTAATAAAAACAATAATTAATAAATAAAAAACTAGAAAAATATCACCTCCTGGAAATTTAAAATTATACTTCTAAATAATCTGTGGGTCAAAGAAGAAATCAAAACTGAAATTAGTAAATACCAGGGGTGCCAAAAAAATGTATACAAGTGGACACTTTGGTCAACATTGCTCAAGCAGTAGTTCACCTTAATCAGAAGTGTCTGGACACTGATGGTAATCACTTTGAGCACCTCTTGTAATTGCAGAAGTCAAATGTGACTTGTATGCATCTTTTGCTATTGGTATATATTGAGTATTACAATTTTAATAATTTTTTCCTTTATTAAAATGTATATACATTTTTTGGCACCCATTGTATATTGAACTCAATGCCAAGAAAGATATAACATTAAAACTTGTGAGAAGCAGCTACAGCCCTAATTGCATATGCAGGAAGTCCCCACTTTGCATGTATAAAGCAAAGACATAGCTCCTATATGCATGAGTTTGAGCTAAGACTTCCTGTATTAGCAGAGAGGCTGAAAAAAATCAATGGTTCAAGTTTCTAGAGAATATGGTCAATAATGCTGCAACAACTATACAGAGGGTGACAAAAAAATGTATACACATTTTAAGAAAGGAAAAAACTGTATTAAAATTNAGCCCTAATACAACATAATGAACAAAATAATAAACTACTGGAACATGATCTGAAGGAGGTCAATAACTACCTGCCGGGAAGCAAACTCATTGTGCGTTGGTAGCTGCCTTCCTGCAAGCACAATAAACTCTCCATTGGGTAGACATTGTGTCTTGGCTGACAATTAGCATATATCTTTTTCAGGAATTGTCAATTTACAGAGAATCAGAATATAAGAGATAGTACAGCTAAATTGTTTAAGAGTATGGGCTCTGGCTCTAGACTGCCTTGAGTTCAAATTCCAGCTCCATGACCTACAAGCTATGTGTCCTTGGGAAAAGTTGCTTAGCTAACCTGTGGTATCAAATTACTCATTTATAAAATGGGGATAATATAAATATCTATGTCAAAGTTTTTTTAAAAAAAATTAAATAAGTTAACACATCAGTGAGCAAAACTAATTATGATACCTGTTCTTAAGGGTTTCTGGTGGGCTCAAATTTTTGAATAACAAAGCTATATATAAGTATCAGGACAACATATGAGATAGTAAAAATGATTGTACTATTGAAAATTTTCAAACTAGGTCAAAAACCATTTAGATATTTAAAGGTATAAATCTGAAATTTAAACACTTAAAATGTTCTGTTATTGTAAATACCAAGTTCCCTAAGGAAAAATCTAGAGGTAACTGTCAAATATATGAGGCACTAGCTACAAGTGGCTATTTAAATTTAAATAAAATTTAAAGATTCAATTCCTTAGTTGCACTAGCAACATTTCAAGTGCTCGGTAGCTAAATGTGGCTTGTGCCTCCCATACTGGACAGCACAGATACAGAACATAGGTATAATCACAGAAATTCTGTTGGACAGCATTGACTTAGATGTAGCTAAGTAATACAGTTATGCTGAGTAAATTCAATAAATCAGTAAGTAAAGTTTAGGCAACAAAAAGGTTAAAATACACAACTATTAAAAAGGAGACACTTTTAAAAGTAAAATTTAAAGGCATTAATTAAGATGTGATTATTTCAAGTCTCCTAGGTAAAACTGTTTAATTTTAAGCTTCACCAAAGATTACCAAACATTCTAATATGTCTAACTGCATGGGAAAATCATTCTGTATCTTTTAAAAAGTTAAATTCATAATTTTTACCTCTGTTCTAAGATCAGTTTTCTAAAGGAGGAGGTGGCACAGGAATGCGGCAGAATTCAAGTGTGGAATTCATTTGTTGAGGCTTAAATATTTTCCAATTCTATAAAAAATAAAAATGAAAAACTTTGAAATATTGAGAAATAACATTTGCAAAAAGGTAATACAAAGGATAAAGAACAACTTTGACAAGACATTTATAATACAGTTCATCTAACTTAAAAAATAGTGATTCAAATTTTATAACTAGCATATACTTGTGCATCATTATCAAACCTAATTTAAAAAACATTAGATTTGGAGAAAGGAAGTCTGAGTTTTAGTTTCAAATTAGCCTAAGTTTGTAAGACCTTGAGCAGGTTACTAAATTTTCTGGAGCCTCACTTGGATAATCTATAAAATTAAGATTTCCAGCCAAAAACTCTACGAATCCAACTTTTGAAACACAGTACAATGATACCTCTCTCTCTCCCCCTCACACACCCTCACACACACACACACACACACACACACACACACAATCATTAAAATTTTAATATGCAGTATAAAACCAAGCTTAAATAATAAGTATCAATGACTATAAAATCATTTTGGACGAGTGTCACAGAACTGAAAATTTTTTCATTTTTAAAAAGAACATAGAAAATGCTATTACTTGAATTTCTGGCACAAAAATACATTAAAAATTTTCTGGTCAGAGAGAATCATGTTCAAATTGCTAAAAGTATACTTTTCTCACAAATTAATAACTATTTTCATGTAGTTGCTGACTACAGTATACTCTCTGACTCAAAACTGTATGACAACTTTAAACCTAAAACACCAAAAGAAAATTAACATTTTAAAATGTTCACTAATAAAAATGTTATTTTTTGAAATACAAAGAACACTGCAATAAAATATTCTCAGAATTATTACATTATCCTTATAAAGTTTCCAATATTTCCCAAACTGAAGATATGTCAGGACCTCCTAATCCAACTATAGAAGCTGACTTTCTCTCTTATATATTGGGCTATTACAGGAGATTTTTATTTCATGAGAAGCCTTGCAGTGGGGGGAAAAAACTTAAAAACTTGGAAAGGACTAACATAATATCTCTGGGAACATGTACAAGAACTAGTAACACTTTAGGAAGGGGCAATGGCCATCTTTTTGTACCTTGAGAATTTTGAACCACCAAGGCAACTGACAGATTTTGAAGCAGTGCAGGCAAGTCGACTTGAGCTCTATGCTGGGCATCTCTGTAGAGATGGTTCTCTAACAATCTTTCAGGGTTAAGGATACAGATAAGGATACTCACTAGGCTTTCAATTTAAGAAAGCAAAACAAAACAAGACAGCCTGACAGGACAAATGATAAGAAAACTGAGTTTTATTAAACTTGAACACAGCTTTAAACAGCTCAATCTCCGATTAATTGGAAGTAATTAGCCCCTCACCCATTTGAGGGACAGAAAGAAACAGGAACCCTGTTGGGAAAGTAACACTGTCTGGAGCCTCTATGGTTCTGTCATACACAAAGTCTGGTACACAATAAAAAATTACTAAATATGCAAAGACAAAACTATGGCCAATAATTATGAGGAAACAAGAAAAACAGTATACACATTCCTATGAAGTGCACATGGGCCATTTTCCATGATAGACCACATATTAGGCTACAAATTAAGGCTCATAGATTTAAGAAGATANACAAGTTGCTGTCCTTTTGTTCTTCAGTCTAGTTGTGGAGGACATTGCTTCACTGGCCCATGTTGGTATTATCATTGCGCTCTTCCCGGCTGAGGCAGTTGCCCGCCAGCCATTGGACTGCCGTTCACGGCAGCTCACTCCAGCTGCCCGGCTCATGCCGGCTGCTAGTCACTCATGGTAGCTCATGGCAGCCCACTGCAGCCTACATCATCATCAGCGACTCACGGCAGCCCAGCTCCAGGTCAAGCTGTTGTTCACCATCTTAGCTGTAGAGGGCGCAGTGTCCCTGGCCCATGTGGGATCTGAACCGGCAGCCCTGCTGCTCAGAGCTTGAGCTCCCAAGCCAACTCTTAACCAACACACCACTTGGCCAACCCCACCTTCACCTTTTTAGAAGGCTGTTCTGAGAATGCCATGTAAGGATACCAGACTAGTCTACTAAAGGATGAGAAGCCACACTGAGAACACTGCAAACATGCCTTTAATAATGGACAGTCAGCACCAACTGCAAACATGTGTGTGAGAACATCTTGAACCTTCCAACTCAGTCAACTCTCCAACTAGATTCAACTGCATGAGACAGCCAAGTAAAACCAACAGAGGACCTGCTCAGCCAACCTACAGAATCATGACAAATAATAAATCTTTTTTTCCTAAGTCATTAAGTTTTGGGGTACTGTATTAAGCAGTGATACCAAACAAATAAACTTTAAAATAACAATACTTAATAGTTTCCTGAAGGTGAGAAAATTCACTTGAAATTTTTGTTTTTATCTTTAATTCACCTATTATAGTATCCTGGAGGTCATGCTGACACTAATGTTTCATTCCACTACGATTAAAAAAGAGAAATTAATGTGTGCAAGTACAAGGGGGAGCCACTAAAATATTTTGTGTGAAGTAACAGGCACTTTAGAAATAGCACTCTGGTTACATTGTAGAATGGACTGGAGGGAGGAAAGACTGAAGGCAAGGTGACCAATAAGAATACTACTGGAATGGTCCGTGAGAGGCCTCGTAAGAGATTAGAGGCCTGAACTACTGTTGCTACTGCTGCTGCTGCTACTACTATTATATTACGTATTTATGATGTACCAAGTGCTATAATAAAAACCTTACATATTATTTGCTAATTTAATCCTTATAACCCTTTAAAAAACTTATTATTTTGATATAATTATAGAGTGACTCACAGAAGTTCCCAAAATATGTGCCAGAAGGTCCCATGTACCCTTTGTCCAGTTTGCTCTAATGCAGCGGTTCTCAACCTGTGGGTCGCGACCCCTTCGGGGGTCGAACGACCCTTTCACAGGGGTCGCCTAAGACCATCAAAAAACAAAAAGATATTTACATTACGATTCATAACAGTAGCAAAATTACAGT